ATTTATATTGTGTATTGTATTTTTTTATTTAACAAATTTGATTGGTTAAAATTATAAGTATGGTGTTGGCACCAGTGGTGTGATTTATAAAAATTTATAGATAAACCAAAAAAAAAAGTGTAAATGGTCCTTACTTAGAATTACGATAGGCAATATTAAGAATAAATCTATATAAAGAAACTAATAACCAAAATAATGTAAGCAAGGAATAATTTATCTATCGTCCTTATAGATTTGTATAAATCAGTTCTCACCTGAAGGTTCCCCAAGTTAGACCCATAATAATACAATGTACTAACTGATGTGAATTGAATCATGCTATATAGTGCCATATATTTAAAGCAACTGAAACTCGTGACTAAGGCTGCTCGACCTTCTCTAATGAACTATTTAATTATAGAACAAGAAAAGAATGTCTTTTAAGAAAAAGATTCACAAAAAAAAAAAAAAAAAGAATTTTAATAAGTCATCATACTTAATAACTTCGATAACATAGCCGATATCCATATTACGACTCGTAAATGGAGCTGCAACAGAAGCTTCTGCACCAGAAAGTGACAGTCCAACATCAGCCGCTTTAAGTGCACCACAATCGTTGGCACCATCACCACAAAAGTCAACACAATATCCTATTTCTTGTATTTTTCTATTAATTCGTGTGTCTCGTCTGGCGACATACGTGCAAAAATTTGGCCTTTGACAAACATCTACAGAACATTTGAAATATGCTCAAAAATAATATTTTATTTATGCTGGCTATTCATAATTATATAGATTCAATACACGCTGCACTGGCTTTATTAAAAGACTGGCGATATCCCAACTTCTCGTTCGGCCTTCGCATTGGCTTTTACATTTCTTCAGAAACATCATTTAAAAAAATTGGCCAGAAATGTTATCTGCAAGAACAGTGATAAAAATGAAATTTATATAAAAACCTGTAAAAACCCTTGAACTTCATCGTCATTGTCGAATTCCTGAAGTTTCTGAACGGCTGCTTCATGTCTTTTGCAATATTCTCCATAAACCGCCTCTAATCTGCTGTCCTCACCCTGAGACTTTCTCATCTGTTTAGAATAAGCATGAAATCAAAATTTGATAATAAGGGTTGTGAATGATAAATATTCTTACCATCTGTGCAAACGCCTCTCCAATGCTTGTATTATCATTCTCAAGTTCGTAATGTTTTTCAGGGTCATCATCTGCGTCTCCGATTCCACTAGCTACAAGCAATAAATTTAAAAAATGCTCCGAAAAGTCTATTATCTCCGGAATATTACTAAATATTGTTTTACAATCATACTGGTTGAAAATAGGAACTTCTTGTGCTTGTATAGAATAAACCTTATAGGAGGTTATTAGATGATATTAAATTGGATAAAATTTTGAAGGTTGTTTTTAATTAAATTTACCTCTTCTAAAAGTACCATGTCTTGAAAGAAAACCCTTTCAGTTTCTACTAACTCCTTTATAACATTCCACAGTTTTTTGCGCCTTTTTAAATCAATTGAATATTCATCCTCTTCAACAAGTGTTGTTTCGCTTGAAAAACTTGTTAACGATATTTCGCTTTTAGATCCACTATTTATGTCTGAAAGAGGGGACATGACCTTTATAGATGGAGACTGTAAAGGAGACCGCGTTGGTATCGGAGGTAAAGCTTTTGAAGTCTCTAGATGTAAATCCTTAGGCCGTACTAAAATCGGAGATGATCCTGAAAGTAAATTTGCAATGCTAGCTTTCTTCGCTTCAAAATCATTTGATGGTATAACAATAGAATTTCTTTTTGAAGACTGGGCACTATGTGAATTGCTTCTCCCAGGATTTTTACCAATTGATGAATTTGATGTTTGTGACATGATATCTGAATCATTTAAATTATTTCCCTCATTCATATCTAGTACTTGATTAATATATGGTATATCAACCCAATCAAGATCGACACCATCTTCACTGCTCGCAAATGAGCCTGATTCCTTAATATTGGCATTACTTGTACGTTTGTGTAAGCTGGTAGGCGTACTTATTCTTTCATCTGGGCTTTTTGATGATATAATAGAACGATTACTGGCAAATTTTTTTGTTTGAATAGGAATCTTTTAGTCACCGAAATGAAATTAGTTTGAAATAATCACATAAGAATAAATCAAATCTATTAAAAATATCAAAATTCGTAAACTCACTGCACCATCACTTTCGTCGGCATGTTGAAATTTCGCTTTGATATCGTCAAATATTAATGAAGATTCGTCAATATTTGCCCTTTTCTCACTCGCAAAATTATCACGTGAGACAGATTTTTTTATGTAAGTTTTCTTGACCATAGGGACAGGCAATTTTGGTGATAAAGGAAGCGACGGGGCGACACGAGATTTGATAATCGTTTGATCTGCTGTTAGATTTGGATCTTCAAAAACGCTTGATAGTCTATTAATATTTGAACCACGGACTACTATTGTGTTTGGATTCGATTGTTTATGAGTGGATGATGAATTTGGCTCACTATCAATTCGATTTGAAGGTGCCGTGGAAAGTTTGGGAGGTTTTGGCTTTGGTGTAGGTGGAGTTTTAGCTTTCTGCGTTTTTGGTACACCATTTTTGCGAGCATTTGGATTCATAACTCTTTTTTATTACTACAAACACGATAAAAAACTCAAGTAAATTATTCGTCCTTATTGTAAAGGCTTTGATATCTGATTTCATACAACAATACAACACAAACAAGTAGTGCTATGGTTAATTTAAAGAAATGTTTTGTAATTAATAATAAATTCAAAACAGGTAAAATTCTAAACTGCTGCAAAAACAGTTAAGAATTTCAAGTTTTTTTGGTTTTATACGACTTACATTCGAGAATGAGTTCTTCAGAATGACTACTTTTTATTTGGAGCCAAACTTTAAATTTCATAAATTACTGTACCTCGAGTCTATTAAAAAAAAAAACAGTTTTAGCGATTTGAGGATTAAAAGCGAATCTAAAAGTTAATTCGAACCTTATTGCGATTGA